ACCTCTGGAAAACTTCTGCAGACTTTACAGTCATACAATCCCTGTGTTAACTTTGAATCTGAGAGTTGAACCCATAAAGTATGGCAGTTAAACAGTTAACTACCCTACTACTTCTCCATATGGATCAAATTCTGTACATAAACTGATGATATAAGAAAGCGAAGGTTTGAACCCAGCTTGGGCACAATTCTGAGCTGTTGTATTCATCTATTTTATTTGGATGGTGACATAAAGCCAACGGCCCCATATATGAGGGGAACTTTAGGTGCATGTAAAAGAACCCAACACACTTTTCAAGAATAGTACGGTTGACTTGGTGTGCTTAGCTCAAGGAGAGATCTGTGACTGAACTACAAGCTGTCAAAAAAGTGTTTTGCTTTACCTCAGTCTGAAATTGGACAGTTTAGATTTTTTCACATGGTACGGCGGCAAACTGTACTCTTCAGTGGACCCACTTCCTGGCATGTTATCTGTCTATTTCATTCAGTATTTGTCCAATTTCTACTCTTTCAACTGCTTCCCGAAGCCTGGTAAAGAATCTACTACATCTACTAGGCACAAGTCCAAGTCCAGAAGTTTTCCCACATGTTGGCTCCATTTATAAACCAGTCATCTGGTGAACTCATTGACATCTAGGGTAGAATAAACAAAACATGCAGCCTACAGGTCAGTCACTTCTGTTGACCTGAAGTAACCTCTCCAGGTGTCCTACGACCACACCTACTGTACGGCTGAGGTATTTCCTTCCTGTTTCCAGGTGCAGTCAGGAAGTCAGGGTTTCAACCCACCTGGACTAAGCAAATACTACACAAAGGTAAAGCCTCCTGGCCAAATTCCAAGTACCATTTCAGAACAAAAAGCCCCGATATCTTTAGTAATGTTGTTTTGTCTAAAGGTGCGGTGCTGAAATTGAGTCGCAATTTCTTTACTTTGTATCATTTTTCACAAACATTTCTAAACTGCAGGTGTAAGATATAATCAACTTAACAATATTCCAAAATTTTGGTAGTGATTTATGTTAAATTTGTGTTACAACCATTGTTTCAAATGCAAATTCAAAAGTAGTACTAATTCAAGCTACATTGATTTTTGGCACATACAAAATAGAAACCATTTTCTGTCAAATTCCATCGCAATTTTGTCTCACAGGTATGAGTGTGCTATGGTAATAGGGTTCATAACTTCATTCAACTTACTACATTAAAAAAATAACCAGAAATTACGACTTTGAAAATTCAGTTTTGTCACTCTAAATTGCATTAGATGTTGTTTTTGGACAGGAGAAGCATTTTTCAGCAGCCCTGTTCTTTTCAGACGTGTGTGTACGTAGTCTGGACAGAGACTTGGCTCCCCTCCATACCAGACTGGATGTTGTTTGCCCCGTTCAGGAAACAGTTAGGAAGGACTGTCTTCCGCTGCCCCCGGCTGACAGATACAGGAGATCGGAGACGATATATGCTTCACACTTTGGACATCACCGACAACTGGCTTCTTTTTTCTCACTCTTTCAGTAAGAAATGATTGATCAAATGAAAAATAATCTTTACAGGCATCAAATTTGCAATTTCAGGGCAGCTTTAGTTAACAACAAAAAGTATTCTGTATGAAGAAATCTGTCTAATATCTACCTTCACTGCCATATCTTAGCACATTAAGTTTTTTAGTAGGCTTAAGTCTAAGGTACAAGTACACCTTTATACAAACATTGATAAAGTACTCTCTTCCCTGCACTTTGGACCCCTTGTTGTAAAACAGTATCAAAATTGAATGCCTAAAATATAACTGGTTTTAAAAACAATATCAAATTTGCATCCTCTGAGTTTCAGACTTCTTTCCTTATCTTGTATCAGCATATATTAGTATACAGTGCAAAACAACTGGAACAATTAGAGGATAAATAATCAGTTATGTAGCAGCTGGATCCAACTAAACTCACAATACTGAATACAACTGTAATAGAACCATAAAAACTGCAAACTTTTCTTTTAATTTAAAGGAAGAAAAAACAGAACTGTAATAATATTGCATTCTGAATTGTAGGAATCCAGTTTCTAGTGAGACCACAGCGATTCCACCCCCCTCCCCCAGTCATGGCACAGTATGGACAACTGAAGCATAGCCTGAATATCAGACTGTTTCCAGGGCCCATTCAGACCAGCTATTCGTAACCAAGAGAGCATGTACTACAGCCAAACTGGCTGGTATCCAGGCTACTAAAATTTTCTTGAGGACGTGCTAGCCCTAGAACAAATGACCTGGCCTGTGTGGGCCCTGGAAACAGCCTGGCACCTAGGCTAACTGAAGCAAAGCCTGCTCAACAATTACACAGCCCAGTCAACCTTGCTTGAAGGGGAGTTTTTGTTCCTCCCTGTTTTTGATCCCACTGGCAGGGGTTCTTCCGTTCTTTTCATTATCCACTGATCCGGTGCCTTGCACACCATTGGTCGGATACTAACCTAATTACTGGGTGCTGCTAGGAAAATTTACATGGTTCAGAGGAGCATAATTCTTGCTTGCCTCTTACTCAACAAAAAGGCTGGGTTACATTTTTCTACACTGATGCACCAGACAAATTTTACCTGAAACACTCAGGCTCTGAGAAGTATGGATCATACTAAAACTGTTCAGAAAGCATTGCTAATATTTCTTTTATACTTTATATGTGGTAACAGTCAATGTGGCAAATAAGAATCCACTGCGTATGTGAACCAAGTACATGGAACAGTGCAGGTTAGGTACAGGTAGACATTAGAAATACCTGCACACCTCCAATTTTACCTGCACTAACCTACATACTGTATACCCAGAACATGGACCAGTACAGGTTAGGTACAGGTAGACATCGGAAATACCTGCACAGCTCCAATTTTACCTGCAATAACCTGCATATACCCAGTACATGGACCAGTGCAGGTTAGGTGCAGGTAGACATCAGAAATACCTGCACAGCTCCAATTTTACCTGCAATAACCTGCATATACCCAAGTACATGGACCAGTGCAGGTTAGGATATCAGAAATACCTGCACAGCTCCAATCTTACCTGCACTAACCTGCATATACCAAGTACATGGACCAGTGCAGGTTAGGATATCAGAAATACCTGCACAGCTCCAATCTTACCTGCACTAAGGTGCACCCAGTATTTCGATCTACCAAATGTTATGTACAATTTTGGCCAGTCATACACATGATAACACAGGAAGTGTAGTAAATGGGAAAAACGAATCAGACTAAATCCCTAAATGTTGTAGACATTTGTTTCTGAGTCATGTACACTTCTAAGAAGTAATGGCGCTATCGTATTACAATGATAAAGTTTGGGGGACAGGTGGTATCAGTCAAATGTGTCAACATGTGTATGTTTTCTGACTGAAACAACTCACGCCCTCTTAAATATCAAAAGTTGCCACCTTTTGATTTCTCTAAACCAAAAATTGTTAGTGTACACCCTGAGGCAATTATGAAACAGCCGTATAACATTACAAGTTTAGGTTGGGACTCAAACTTTCAGGTCATAGCCTCCGCCATCACTGAATATCCAGAGAGAACTAACTATAGTGGCTCTCGTGACCCTTTTTCTTACAGACTATGACCTCCTCTAGTTCATGTGAGCATACGGTCAACATTGGAATAGATTAGTGCAATTTCAAGGAGGCAAAAGAAAATATATTCTAGACAAGGAAAAATGATATTGACATTTACTGCTATTTCCTAGCACATTTCACACTTGAAGTGTTTGAAATTTATAGCCCCAAAATAAGCTGCATGAGGAGTCCCATAATTTTTTGGTATCACCAATCAAAAAGCTAGAACCAGTCTACGATACAAAACAAGCAACTGTTTCCTGCTACTAACATAGCACTTTTTCCTTCACATATATCAGTGTGCTATTGATAGGATTGATTTCAAAATGATCCGAAAATTGACTTTGATCATTGTATTGGATGATTTTAACAGGCACAGTGACATTTTCCATTATGTAGAAGTTATGATCATTAATAACTACATGTTTGAACATGATGATAATTGCTCCAAGTTGGATTGCCACAGAGGACCCTGGGACAGAGTGGCAGTGTGCCACGGGACAGAGTGTATCACCCAGCCTTTGTCTGGAGGTCAAGGGTCGGCCCTGTGACCAAAACCCTGGCGCCAATGTAGATTACAGTCAACACCAGCAGTAGAGGGGATACAGTGTCTGGGCCTTAGGGGGTTATGTGCTGCTTTTCTCAAGAACTACAAAGCAAACCACCAAAGGATTGGCTGTATTTCATTATAATCGCTCTCATTATAACCCCATTCTTAAACCTTAAAGCTCACAACCCAAGATCTAATTCTCAAAACACCTCTAAAAATAGTGAGAGAATTGTTGACAGTACAGTATAGTACATTATTTTAATTACCGCATAACTTAAAGACATCCAAAGCAATTTCAGGGCAGTAAAACTGGATTTTCAAAGTCACTTTCCTGGGGTCATTTTTTCATATAATAATTGATATCTATCCCATACTAATATCTGTGAGACAAAGATGTGATATAGCTGACTGAAAACAGTTGCTTGGTTTATATCAAAGGCTGGTTCTAGCTTTGTATGGGCAGTACCCAAAAATAAAGAGATTATTTTTGGTGTTATTTCAAATGCTTCAAGTACAAATTGATGACAAACAAGTTCTAAGAAATGGCAGTAAATGTCAGCATCAGACAGATCTCCTCATCCAGAATACTTCTTGTTTTGCCTCCCTGAAATTGTGTTGGATGCCTTCAAGACATGATACTGTATTTCACATTATTCACTGTAGCCAAAGTTCACAGTCTGAGAACTAAATATTCATGGTGGCAACAGGTGCAGGAAAAGGAAAGTCCAGGAATTATTTGTTGTAATGATAAATTTACTGTACAGAAGTGACAGTGAAAACACTAAAAAAGTCCCGTGAAAAAAACAGGAATTACGGTATATTTTACAGCACCTTCATTTATAGTACGCGGCATAAGGTACTTACTTTAGATAATACCTCTGTCCGCTGGCGGTGTGTGCCATCTCCCAGCCGGGTGGAAGTGGCCCCAGGTCGTCCATGGCTGTGGGGTCGTAGCTCTGCTGGCGCAGGTGCTGGAACTGTTGTGCTGAGGCCTGCTGGGTAGCCTGGAGGGAGGCTGGCGAGGAGTGGGCTCTCGAGTGGGCGATGGGCAGGTTGTGAGGAGACATCTATAGAAAAAAAGGGAAAAAAAGAGATCTTAGAGCAAGAAATCAGAGATTTTAGACTTCAGCAAGTATTAAAGGGTTCTTCGTTTAGTCCTCTGCCTCCTGAATTCCCCCATGTTCTACCCACCAGTGCCATTTCCTGTGTCTGACATTTTCACCCATTTTCTTGGAAAGGTTGTGGGGCAACATATAAAGAAGGGAAAAAATAGATTTCAGAACAACAAATCAGAGATTTCAGACTTCAGGAAGTATTGGAAGGTCCCTCGTGGAATCTTTTGCTTCCTGAATTCCCCCATGACCTACTGGCTCAGGCCAGAGCCATTTTCTGTGTCTGACTTTTTGACATCTTGTCATTCTACCTCTCAATCTTTCCCCAACCCATGTAATATGTATCACGATGGCAGAACGTACTGTACCTGCACGAAACTCAGATTCTTATGTTTTTGTAGGATGATTGGTCAATGTTGCATCAGAATATTGCCTGTTGCAGATTATATCTTTTCCAACACAACATGGGGAAACTAAAGGCAGAATTTCGTTCTTAAATATGGGAAAATGACCTTAAACAACACATTCTGCAGGAGTGCCTTGCACAAACACTGGTTCTGCACAGGCAGTATATACATTGTACTGTAGTAGGTTATTTTCTGTCAACCCTGTACCGTACCTCACACAGCAAGCTCGGTCCTAAAATGGTTAAAGTGAATCTCAAAATGGACAAGAATACAGGACTCAGCAAGCATAAACCTCTCAATCTACCAAACTGGGATGGATTATGTCCAAGCTACTTAGGGAGCGGTCAGTTTGGACTAGACCGTCACTTTGTACAAGCGACCACGTCTGTATACATCAACACTGGGCCTTGCACTCCCTGTTACCCCCTAAGTCTAACCAACACACCAGCCACTCTTGTGATCATCGGGAGTAAACATGGGCCTTTTTTGCTGCTCTGTTTTGTCTGAGGCTGTCACGACAGCATCCAGGCCAGCTGGTGGGCAGCTGGAGGTCTCCTGCAGGGGTGTCTTAAGGTCTCCTGCAGGTGTTTCTATCACCTGTGATACTACCCAGCATGCAGAGGTAAAACATATCCCAATGTGACGTACATGTTGGGAACACTGTGGTTTTATATGGACTGTTTTCATAGCCCCCTCTCTGCTGCGAAATCTGTATATAGTATCTCGATCAAATGTTCAGAACAGTAACCCACTGCAAAAAGGCATGAACACAGATCTTCTTATTCTTTATGGTATGTAAAAGGGGCATTTTCTAACATTTTGGACCAAAAAATTTAAATATTCTAATCTTATTGAAAAAAATCGTAATGTGATTATAATTTTCTTCCACTGTTAAACATATTCCTGCAATTATTTCACGTTTTTGACATTTATGGTTGGCAATAAACAGCCCACGAGGTACACTCAGTTTGTGGTACCACCACAAAATACCAGAATGTAAACAAACATGACTGACAGCTGACTACAAAACATTAAGTTTCTGCCACTGAATGCCATGTATCGTCTGTGATATTGTTCTTTCCACATGAAGGTACAAGACATTATTGCCTATGAGTCATAACTGATTTACTGTAAGTTTCTTTAGATTCGCGGGGCCTAAAGTTTCTCGCGATTTCTCCTTGGCTATTCAAAGAAGAGTTTGTAAAATGCATTTTAAGAATAATAAAAGTTCGTGTCCCGGCATTTATCTCCCAAAACGCGGCGCAAAAAAATTGTTTCCTGCACCGCGCGAGGCTGCCTGCATGCTCAACACATGTCCGCATTACGCGTCCCTGATTGGTTGTTGCGTCGTGCCGGCGGTAATACACATTCAAACTGAGTGCGTGAAACAATTTTCTTCGTTCGGAAATATCGCTAAAGTGCTATTTTTCGACAACTACACATCGACACTGTAGTGAAGAAATGCACAATGAAAAGAATCTTTCAGGAAAACATGTATTGCTATGCCAATTTATGGCGTATTCGGCGAGATTATGGCGTTCGATGAATGCGGAAGTGTCCCAAGATCGCCTTCTTGTAGCCACGCTACGCTAGCGTTTATACCCATTTTAGAAGAAGAAAAAACTCCAGTAGATGAGAACCAAGTAACATTTCCCAGGTACCAACAATTATAATTAATATTTTTCGCCAGAATATTTGTAGATATGCCCGATGTGCCCGCATTTTAGCGGTATGGCCGGCGCTCAGCTGCACGCATAGATTTTTGTCGGGCGGTACGCGGTTGACACGGCCAGTGCTATCGCTATTCGGTGTCTCATAATATTATTTTTTAATAACAGTTTAACTTTAATAATTTTGATACAGTACTCAACTATGTACATCTGCTAAGAATAGTCGATTTGCGGTGATTTGTGGATCGTGTGTTTCGCTTGAGCTCAAAGTCCGTCGTGAATGCATGTGGGGAGGGGGGCACACTTACCCAAAACATATTCGCGGGGAAATAGATTCGCGGTACAAAGGTCCCCGCGAATTCCGCGAATCTAAATATACCGCGGAAATTTGTAGACTTACAGTACTGTCTTGAAAGAAGCTTCAGGAAGGCCTGTGTCTGGCTGCTAATTACAGACTCCCTAAGACAATGCAATGTGACCTCTCCTGACCCAGCCACTAGTTGTTTGGGGTGGGGTTCTTCAAGTTCTCTCCTGAGCATGAGCCGTGAAGGCCACGGAAAGTTTCCCAGGCTTTTGTCCAAGGACAAGCAAGCCATGACACACAACAGCTGGGCCCGTTATGGTGAACTTTTAGGAGTACAAGAGGCTGCTACCATTTCTGATGTATTTTATGGGTCTTTTCTATTGTAACTAAGCCAAGAGAGATGAGGCCACATCAAATTATTTATCTAGTTCTTGGACAATTAAAAAGTACCCAATGCAACCTCAGAATGACAATATAAAACACATTCTGGATTAGGAAATCTGTCTGATATTGACATTTACTGCCATTTCTTAGCACATTTTGTCATCATTTCATACATGAAGCTTTTGAAATAGCCCCAAAACAAGGAGTTGTTTTATTTTTGGTACCACCAATAAATAGCTAGAACTAACTACATGTTAGACACTTACACATTATCAACTGAATAGTCATCTGAAACATAACTTTTCGATCACGCTTATAAAAGTTCAACAACAATCAACTGACGGGCACAAAAACCTCTGACAAAGAACAGTGTAAGTACTGTAACAGAGGAGTTGTCTGAAACAATAGTAGCCATTGGGCTGAGACTGTCCAAATTTGTTCTGTTTCTCTCACAATAATCAGCTGCCTGTCACTAGCACTGCAGCAAGGATGGTAAACAAAGGTTAGGAGGAGAGTTCTATTTTGCAGTAAACCACTAAGGTCCAAAGGCCCTGATGCAAGATTAAAATGGGTGAATCTGCAATCAACACAGTGTTCTATACTACATGTATAGCTAGGCAGTCTGAAATATTTTTTCTTTACCTCAATTTTGTTTCACGAAACACCATGTTGAGTGCCAAAGGCATGACAATTATATATTTCTTTATAACATTGTTAGTGGGGGGCATGCTCCTCCAGAAAAAAATTTGAAATTTTGACCCCCTAAACACTATTTCCTGGATTTTGAGGGGCGAATTTTGCTGGTAGACTAAGCTTAGTTTAATGACATATCTTTCCGATATCATTGCACAATTTTCCCATTAAAGCTGACAAATTGGACAAAATTTTTGTCTATCTTGAGCAGCAAAATTCTATCAAAGGACGGAAAGATGTACCCTGGCTAGAACTACTAGTACTAAGCTGGAACATTGAGTACAGCCTCTGCCAGCTGTCCAGAACTTGATGGATAGAGTTGACCTGTCATCTCTTTTTAAGGACAAAGGTCAGAGCACCAGTTGAACCCAGGCCTGATATGGCCATACTGATAAATGACCTGCATGATTTGATTAGAACTCAAAGTGACCAGGAACTACTTTTCCATTAAATGGGTTATACGAGTGCTCTGGCTCCTATCCTGAAGAAAATAAACAATATGTTGGGTTTCCTTCTTGCCTGTGCTAAACCAAACTTGCATTACAGTACATGTAACAATGATAATCTACCTGTTTCATCGATTAATGTTAAATGTGTAAAAATATGCATTACGGTAGAAAAGAGACATCAGAAAGACAGCTAGGATTTCATTCATCTTTAAAACTTGAAGTCCTTCTATTTTTTGCCAACACTTTTCAAATAGATCATCTTATTCCATGAGGGCAAAAATATTTCACCAGAAAAATTCAGATGCACAATACTCTTGTGTTCATACTATTACATGTATTTTTTTTTCACACTCAAAGAGATACGTGTTCAGTTACATGTACGATGTAGCTGCATTATTTTGATGGATCAGAGTAAAAAATTTTGATTGAAAATAGAATAACGGCCGATGCACACCCACTTACTAGATCTAAGGTTGGAAAAAAATCTAAGGGAAGACCGAATATGATTTTTAAAAAAAATTTCAATAGATCCAAAAATGTAACAGAGGACAGCATTTCCAGCAATTTTTCAACTTAAAAATAGCAAAAGTTAAATAAAAAAAAGACACAAATCCAGCAACTTTTCATTGATGCAATTCAAACGTGTGAGTTTCAAGAGGACTGGACTGCATTTTTACCAGTGGTCACTTGTTTTTGACAGCATATTCTAAGCACTGGTCAAACCAGTGGACGTTCTGTTGACATTACACTGACTCAGTATCAACAAGGTAGCCACTCTGTACCTTGTCACACACAGGAAGCCTACTCACACTTTACAAGGCCATCTTTTCTTCTGATCTAAACTGTCAACAAGGGTTGGGAGCCTCACTGTAAACTCCCTGTCCCTCACAACAAATACATTACGTCACCTACCATGTTAGTATTGACCATCTAGATAGCTCCTTTTAGTTAGTACTGTGAATTCATTAAGGCACTGCAATTTCAGGGTGGCAAAACAGAAAATATTGAAGATGAGGAAATTTGTCTGATATTGACATTTACTGAACTGCCATTTCTTAGCACATTTTCATCATCATTTTGTACTTAAGGCATTTAAAATAATCCCAAAACAAGCTACATGATATATCTTTTGGGTATCACCCATGAATAGCTAAAACCAGCCTATGATACAACTTACAAGACAAGCAACTGTTTTCAGTCAGCATTATTGTATTTCTGCCTTACAGATATCAGTATACTATAGGATAGGATTGATTCAACTACATTTAAATTTAAAAGAATGACCAGAAAATTGACTTTCAAAATCCAGTTTTGCTGCCCTGAAATTGCAGCACTGTGTTCACTACATGTCTTTAAATTTGCAGCTGAAACTATATCATACTCATGATAGTAATAGTATACTGACACATGATGCAATGAGTTCAAAGTCACCATGAAAACTAACAACTAAAAAAAAAACAGCAAATATTTCACAATTTACCGTATCACTTCAGATAGATGAATATCATAAAAGATTGTCCAATGGGAATAGAATCAAACACTTTCTCCCATATGGAAGCAATGGAACAATTAATCCGTCTGATGATTATCAGTACTTGGGTCTTCAGATTAGAGCAGATAACATTATGCTAAAGCCTACTACATACCCTATCAGTGTGTGATCTTCCCTATAGGTGTAAACTAGCGATGGGTTGTTTGTACATGTGCTATATGTGATGTAAAACTAGTAGTACATTTGTAGCCCAGGATTCACAGTTCTGCCGTTCTTTTTCTCTCCATCCCTCCCTCCCAATGTATGGGATATCCTATTCTGCAGAGGGTTATATTGGCTATCTTGGGTGTAACCCGAGATGGCTTCAAAGACCCCCTAGCACCCATCTGTTCTGGGGTTTATAGTGTACTCAGATGGTCAACCTGCCCTGGGCAAGGCAAGGCTCTGTGGTCTTGTTTGGGGACTTCATTGAAGCACAGATGTCTTTTCTCTTCAACTGTTTTACATTAAAACTAGACATGGAAAGTTTGTCAAAACGTCATACAGTAATTTCTTCATAGAACAATATTTCTACCTGGATATATTTCTAAAGGTTCTTTTGACATGGCCCACAAACGTACCAGCAACTTTGTATCAGGACATGTTTTATGGTCTAAAACATATATTTTTCCATTTCTTTTTTTAATATATACTGGATACAGTACACTCTACAATGACCCCACAGACAGATATTAGAAGTATATAACGTTATATATACAAAATTTTACTTCAAATTTAGGACAGATTAGTTAGTAACTAAGTTAGTCTAAAAGTTTTGGTGCACTGCAATCTCACTATTGACTATGCTATACCAGGATATAGCAATATCAACAGGATGTGTGCTATTGTTTTATATGTACAGTAATAGCTTACATATAAAGTTCATGATACTACACTAAGGCATGAGTTATATACGTGTAAATGCTGATCTACACTTATTTTCTCTGAAGAAAATAGACACCTTACACCATGAGATTGTTATACAGTAGCAACACTGTCAGACTCAGAGTGTTATGACAAAAAATTTGTTATTCAGTCGACAAAAAAGAAAAGATTTCCTGAGTATTCTTAAACCATACGCCAAGTTCTAGATGTGGTATAATAATCAGTTTAGAACTTCAGAACTCTTTTGATTGCAGTATGGAGAAAGGAGTTAGTTTTCCAAGTGCGCAACGTTTTGAAGTCTTTTATCTGGGGGTCTAAATCTGATTAGGTCAGCAGTGAGTGTATCTAACTGGGTTACAGTCGCCCTTTGCCATGATTGGGTGTACTGCACATGGCCGACAATGATCATTTTACCACGTCTGTGCCAAAGTCTAACTGCAAACAGCCTCGCAGTGAACCTTCTTGACCCAACTCAAACCAGTTTCCCCGACAAAACACTTGGAAAAAGTTTCCAGGACAAAATTAAGACACACGAGCTATAAAATACTAAATTTTTTTCAAATATGATTTACACCACCGAATTAGGCTGAAAATTTGTGGTTCATAATTTGATTATCATACAGTGCTTTGAACATATATGATCTTTATCTCTATTCCCTGAATGTTTTGAGTAGCCTTGCTTGTGTAATACTTGAGCAATATACATGATCTACAATCTGATCTGTGATTTAGGACTTGTAAGCTCTTTCCACACTTAGCATGTAATCTTTTAAGTTTTAGGATCATATGGATCATTTTAATGTCACAATGATTCATCTGACTTTTTCATAACATTGTCAAAAGAAAGTTGGGAAGCCTTCTCTCTCTTCTTTTCTACAAATTCATGGTGGGCTGGCAAGACTTCACATCAAGTTGTGATTTTAGTACCTCTAGATGGGGCATGAGCCCCATTAACGACAACTGTTGGTAACACCAATCTGGTAACTATATAAAGCTAGGATCCCAGCTGGGAATCAAACCCATGTCTCCTGGTATCAGGGCAGGGCTTGCTACTGACGGGTAATCTGTGTAAACACACTAGCAGCGTAATACGTGTTGTATACATACACGTCCCATCTTAACATATACAACTCCCTAGTTGTCTAGTTGAAACAGAAGGCTGGAGAGGAAATGTTTGAAGTTTTATGGTCGTATTTTCTTTTTTCTTCGTTGTGTTTTAGCGTAGAGTAAAAAGTAAGGAGAGGTATCGTACTGACCTGGCTGGTTGGTGGGGGGCCCGGGTAAGCTGCCGCCGAAGCACCGCCCTTTGCACGGTCTGGAGGCGGGTTAAAGAACGATGGAGGCAAGTTTCTCATCCTCATGGGCACGGAGACGGGCTGTCCTTCCTTCTTGTTCATAACGGCGGCGAACAACTTCTCCAAGTCCCCCTCTGGGTCCCCGTGCGACAGAACCTGTCTGCCCTGGGCGTCCATCTTGGCCCCAGCTGGAAAAGGTCGCAAGTTCGAGTGCAAAAACTCCCGCGAAGACGAACTGTCCCGTCCAACAACTGACCAAAAACCTCACCAACAACACGGGCGAGGTCCTCCTATGGCCGAGACACTGCTAGCTCCAAAGGGCTGACCAAAAAACTGAAGGTAGACCGAAGAAAAGTTGGTAGAAACGTCAAACCGCGACCCTACCCCACTCTAGGGCCAGCTGCAGACGACTGATTCCCACACGGGACGGTCACCTCCCCGCCGTTCCTTCCGGAGTCAAAACCGCCCGTTTTGGCACCAAAATCCGATTGCCTCCGCAAGGAAGTTGTTCAGGACAATCCCGGCACTTGTAAATATTCTGCTAACGGAGTTAAATTGGCGGGATCGGTCTGTTTTTGCCGACTTTATGGTCCGGTTGCCGAACCTGAAACTTCTCTACTCGGCTTGCTAACTTTGGGTGAGTCTGCACAAGTCATTTAACTCATGAATTATTAATCAGGCACATCACTACATAAACATTGGTGACATCCGCCAAACAATTAGTGCTCACTTCGAATAGCACTCAAGGCGAAATAGTCCTGGAGAGTAGACTGTTTAGAAAAAATACAGTTACAGTTATAAAAACTTATTTGCGTCATTTCAACAACAAAAAAATTAAAATCTTCACAAGAATTGTTAATAGCACATACCTTGATACCTTGATACCGTCTTCGGGATGAGAGGTAATCCTGTGGTGATCCCGATCTCGACTTCACTCAGTGTTATACTTTATGCTCTCCCAGTATTTGTCTAGGTTCGTCTTGAACTCATTTACTGACTCTGAGTCAATTACGGCCTGTGGTAGACTGTTCCAATCCCTAACGACCCGGACGCTAAATGACTGTCGTCTAACTCTTCCCTTGGCCAAAGGGACCTCCAGTTTGCAACTGTGCCCTCTTGTTGATCCTTCTGTTCGCTTCTTGAAGAAGGATTCGAGTTGGATTCCCTCCAGCCCTCTTGCTAGTTTGAATACCTGTATCATGTCTCCTCTGCGCCTCCTATACTGTAGGGAGGGAAGACCTAAGGTCCTCAGTCTCTCCTGGTAGGGTAGATCCCTGAGATTCAGAGGGAGTTTGGTGGCCCTTCTTTGTACCTTCTCCAATTCCTGCTGGTCTAACCGGAAGTGAGGCCCCCATATCACGTTGGCGTATTCAAGGTGAGGGCGAACCAGGGACTTGTAAAGTAGTGGTATAGTCTTAGAGTCCAGGTTATGAAAGGTTCTCTTGATTATCCCTAGCATCCTGTTTGCCTTCCTTGCTGCCGCTGCAGTGTTTGCGTGAAAGGTTAGTCTGTTGTCCATTAACACCCCCAAGTCCTTTTCTTCTACTGTTTCCTGGATCTCCTGGGATCCTAGTGTGTACGTAGCCTTGGTGTTCTGCTTCCCTAGATGCAGCACCTTGCACTTGCCAGAGTTGAATGGCAACTGCCATTTAGTAGACCAGTTGAGTGCTTCGTCCAGATCTTGTTGTAGGATCTCCCTACCCCCAGCTGTCGCCACTGTGTGGTAGATTTTGCTGTCGTCAGCAAAAATCTTTATCCCGCTGGACACCCCCTCAGGCAAGTCGTTGATGAACACGACAAAGAGCACCGGTCCTAGCACGCTACCTTGCGGTATACCGCTCTTTACTTCTGTCCATGTAGATGCTTCCCCGTTGAGTACCACCCTCTGCCTCCTATTGGCCAAGAAGTCCTCAACCCAGTTCCACAGTGTACCACATACTCCGTAGGAACGCAGTTTGCAAAGTAGACGCTTGTGGGGAACAGAGTCGAACGCCTTCTGGAAGTCGAGGTAGACCACATCCAGTGGGTGACCTTCTTCCAGGGCCTTTGTCCACTCTTCCATGATCACCAGAAGTTGGGTAACACACGACCTGCCAGGTACGAAGCCGTGCTGTGCATCAGTGAAATGCCTGTTTGCAACCAAAAATTCCACTAATGCATCCCTAATGATGGATTCCATCAGTTTTCCTACCACCGAAGTGAGACTAACCGGTCTGTAGTTTCCAGGAATGTCTCTCCCCCCTTTCTTGTGGATGGGTGTTACGTGGGCTTGTTTCCATGCTTGAGGTAACCTGCCTGATTCCAGGGATTTACTGAAAATCATAGTTAGAGGGTGTGCCAAGTCGTAGGCCAGTTCCCTTAACAGTCTCGGATGAAGGTTGTCGGGACCTGCAGACTTGTTGGGATTCAGCTCTGTTAGCTTCTTCAACACCTTCTCCTCTGTAATTTCCAGGTCCTCTAATCCTGGCCCCAAGTGCTTCACCTCCACTTCGGGAATGTCGACGATCTCCGAGGTGAACACACTGCTGAAAAAACCTGTTTAGCACTTCCGCCTTATCCTTGTCTGTCTTTGCTTCAGTGTTGTCTGGCTGCTTCAAGCTACCCACCTTGGGTCTTGTCTGTAGACGTGATCTAGCATACCTCCAGAAGGCCTTTGGGTTGCCTTTGATATCCTTAACAAGTCTGTGTTCAAAGTTACTGCATAGTTCCCTGGTGAGATTTCTTAACTTGTCCCTTTTCCCTGCATACCTCACATAATCTGTTTGCTTCCCAGACTTCTTCCACTTAGCCCATGCTTTCTTCTTACTCCTGCTTGCTTTCAGAGCTTCGTTGTTTAGATACAGCTTGTTGGGTCTGCTACCAGGCTTCGCCATTGGAACACAACTGTCAATGATCCTTTGCATGACTTCTGTGAACCTTTCCCAGGCTTCTTCCACATCTAGATCTCCCAGACTGCCCTCCCAATCTTCCTGCTGTAACAGTATCATTGCCTGAGCAAAGCTTGCCTTGTTGTAGTTTCGCCTCGGTTGGTTCGGTGGTGCCGCCTCCACGGAACAGCAGACAGAAAACCGCAGGTAGCAGTGGTCTGCTCTACCAAGTCCTGGATTATAAGTTATCCCCCCTACCAACTCTTCCTCGTTAGTGATGACAAGGTCCAGCACTGCAGGAGTCTGGTTGTTCCTGTATCGTGTGGGCTCCGTTACATGTTGGTCTAGATGGTTGTTGTCCAGGCAGTCCAAAAGTAGACGGCTGTGATGACTCTCACTACCTGTAGATTTCCACCCCTCCCAGTCTACCTCTTTGATGTTGAAGTCCCCCACGACCACAAGGTATCTTGGCTTCATGTTGCACACAGCAGTTATCAGGTTACACAGTTTACTTGTACTGGTCACTGGGTCTGACGATGGACTTCTGTAGATACATCCTAAGGTGAGGTCGAAAGTACTCTTGCCCCTGATCTCGCATCGTAAGAACAGATGTTCCCCAAAGTCCTGTTCGCTAAAGTCCAGCTCACTAACTGAGACATTCAGAGTTTTCTTTACATAGATTACTATTCCTCTTTTGCCACTGTTACAAGGGTTGTGTGAATCCGCATCAAAGTTCATAAAAGATTCATAGTTATCCAGTTCAAGCATACACTTACCCACTGGGGTTGACTTCGCCTTGGGTAAGACCTCTGTTATTACTATGATGTCAGGTACGTCTGTGGCTATTGCAAACCTGAGTTCTTCCATCTTATTCAAAAGCTGGTCAGCGTTAGTGTAAAATACTTCCAATGTCCCAGCATCCCCTTCATGTGTTGTATCCCTGTCTAGTCACTTATTCCCTCGTGATAGTCTTGTACATTGTATGATCCTACCTCTTCTGATCATTAGGTTATCCTCCCCTCTCTGTCTCCTTTCTTTGAGCTCAATCCTGAGTTTCCTGTTCCTCTCTCTTTCGGTAGGTGTCAAGTCAGGTGAGATGTAAATGTTAGCAAACCTGTCACTGTTCTTCAGATGTTTGGCCTCCCTCAGCAGGCCGTGTCTTCCCTGAGCATCCTTGAATGTGGCAAGTAGGAGTCTATTTCTGCCCGGCTCCCTTTTTCCCAGTCGTACCGCTTTGAGAACACAAACATCCGGTTCCCCCAACTCCCTGGCTACTTCCCCAATAAACTCCCTGTCCAGCCTTTCCCTGTCAGTGGGATCCTCCGAGGCAGGCTCCGGGACGTTGTGAAGAATAATATTGAGTTTCCTTTTTTCTCTGTCCATCATATCGTGAAAAAATGCTGATTTAATAATTTTAAAAACTTTTCTTGCCCAACAAGTTTGTTGGTATAGTTCTCTTTTGAGAGTTTCACAAATAGTTTATCAATAAACCCGCATCAAGGTTATGTTTTTGGGTGTGCCCAAAAGTCTTTTTTTTTTCAATCATTATCATTTTTCTCCGTTTTTAATGTCCTCGGTTTAATATATTCATACAGTGCAAGGTGCGAGCTCTCCCAGACTTCAATCTAAAAATAAAAAAGCAAAACCATAGTGTTGAATTATTCATAAAAACTTGAAGATACGTTGCATTTCTTGTTAAATTGCTCCACACATCAATGAAGAAATCCATATACTAGTATTTGACGACAGACATAAAATGTTCATTTGCGCAATTCAGCGGATGGATATTTTGACGCGCGTGGGCCAGTGAGCCGCCTCAGGTTTCTCTGATGGGACGCCCCTTTTGACGTCACTATGTAAATAAACCCTTAGTTCGAGAGCTGTGAGGATTGGGGAGAGGTCGATTTCAGCCAAGAAAACAATGGTTGTTTTGTTATGGGATACGATTAGGGAATTGTGTACCACGGTTTTTGTTTCGGAGGAAAGAAAGCATCACAATGGCCCATCTATACCTGATGGAATCCTCGATTTGCATTTGCTGAGACTGAGGGAATTTGGGTTGACACGAAATGCCTTTACAAAATATAAACCATTTATTTCGGACGCAACAGGATGTAAATCAACAATTGTCAACATAAACTATCCCGTCAAACTAGCGCCTGTCATTGTAAAACATCACGACGTAGTTTCTCCATTTGTAAAAGTCAAAGACTCTTTCCTGGGTGGGCTCTGTGTCGGTTCGTTGGCAAGGAAACCAACTGAGTAGGTTCCCATGGGGTCCCGAAACTTGGCCATTGAGCCATTGCCCTAAATATAAACAATGAAGGATTTACCCATATATGGTAGTGTCCCTTCGCGGAACACGCCGAAGCCCCGCCTTTTATGCCCAAATATGGAAGTATACGAGGCTATGACGCGCCATCCCGGAAGTGAGGGCGGACACGGAGCACTTCCGGTTCGCGATGGTGTAGGTGGAGTTAATCCTTAATCACTTCCTGTCAACATAATCGATCGTTTCCGATGTGTTTTCTTTCCCCTATTTTATGAGTAACAACTTGTAGGGGTCATTGACACCAATGGTGAGCAATATTTTGACAACAGAGTAATTGCATGGCGAAAATAAAATGGATGTTTATAGAATAAAGACTCATTCGTTTTGGTGATAAGAATTTTAAAGGTCCTTTTGAGCTTGGTGATGCAATTGTACATACACTGATAAAGAGTTTTGGACTTGATTAAACACAAGAGAAAGTAGTCAAAGAAAACACACAAGTTCTCCCCCCCCCCCCTTCTCTCTGTGATTAGGTTAGATAAGAATATCATAAAGTTCAGTGAAAATGATTTAATACTACGAAAGTTTTGAAAAAAGTTAAAAGTACTTTTTTTTTCTATCTACTTATTTGCTTTCATGCTTTCCCCACTGCAATATGACTCGATCTTTTTTTTTAAATTCGGGTGGAAAAATAGTAAACCTTGGCCAAATACTTGAAATAGGGAAAATAATTGGTAAAGGACAGTTTGGCTACCATAGAGTTCATTTTCCTGTGTTACTCTTTAATACTGCGGCTTACTCAATAGGCCAATTACTGACCTGTTGCCAATTTGCATAATGCACCTTTAGGGTAGCCTGGTGTACATGTAGCCTCCTTTGCATGCGGCTGGGAGAAGCCGTCGCATATGGGGGGGGGGCGTATCTGCAAAATGCAATTTTCTGATCAAACGTACATCGCATGCATAGTTGCTCTGGTCGCCCTTCCACCCCCACCCCCTCCCCCCAAAAAAAATTACACAGCTCCGTAACGCCTTCGAGGGGCTAGCCTAGTGGAGGTTTATTTTTATGTATCGGTGTATCCAAGCTACTGTCCAAGCAAAGGTTTGGGTTTTGGGGGTACCGGTATTTTTAGCGTGTATTTAGGCTTTTTTTATCGGGGTTTCTCTTTTGCACTGATTTTTTTTGCAAAAGAGAAACCCCGATAAAAAAGCCTAAAAACACGCTAAAAATACCCCCAAAACCCAAACCTCTGCTTGGAGAGTATATCCAAGCAAGGGTAATGAAAGCTCCTTGATCCAAGGCTGTTATATAACGTCCTTGGTACATATCAAAGGTTTGACTTTGAGTGGTTTGCGTTCAGTGACAATGAGGTTGAAGAGCTTTTGAGTCTCCTTGGACAAATGAAGTTCCAAGGTCTGTTTTATCGACATTTTACACACTTTTGCACACGTTTCAGGCTGTTGATTCAGCCCCCAACGTTAGTCTTCGCCACAATAACACAGCTGGTTCAAAAACAGTATTTAGGCAAAAAAAAGGCCAGGGGAGTTTGACCACCGAACTTACTTGAAACCTGACTTACTTTTAATTGCCGAATTCTACTATCCCCTACTACCCCCAACGTGGCTGCAGTTGACTTAGTCAAAGTCGTTTATTGCACAACGATTGTCACGGGTACAATGTATGGCAAATGATAAAGTTACTAGTTTGTATGAGTCTATCATAATACTACACATATGGTCAATGGTTACTGTGTCTGACAGAGTGTTATAAAGAACTACTGGCTAGAGAAAATATTTCAACTCTACCGTACTTTCTACATTACGCTAAACTATACTTAGTGGTAGGATACTTGTGCGTCAATGAGTACATGTATCCTGTTTCTGTATTTATTCAATCGTACTTTTTGCAGTAAACTGTGGTAATAAAACTCATATGGATAAAACAGACCGAACATGACCAAAGGAGCTACGAGAAAGATCCTACAACGAACGGATACGTTCAGAACATCACATACTAGTAAGTACAGAACCTGAAAACAAAAACAACACTTGAGAAAACTCCAGCAGGTGACAACAATACCGGCCCTTGTGCTCAGATCTGGCGGCGTGCCTTTCAAGTCGGCAGTACCAAGGTTGTGTTCTTCTCTTGCGGTTGTGTAGAGCGTTGTTTTTGTTTTGCAAGTAAACGTTGATTACAGGGGGACACAAAGGAAGCAAGCAAGTACAAAGGATGTTGGTTGCAGTGGCGCCTCTGTCAGTTTATCTGTTAATCTTTTCTACCTCCTTGGACAGACCTTACTTCTTTTTCACGAAGCTAAATAATGAATAAATGGAAACATACACCAAGGAGATTTAAAGATCCTCCTTGCATACACCAAGGAGCTTAGAATAAGCTACGGTATAGCCCTCCCACCAGGTCTTCTAAAAGGAGTTAGGATGTCATTGGGACAGAGTTCGAATTCGGCAAAATAGAGTCTGCATTGGCCAAATTGCGTTGCCGCTCATACTTTTCTAGTCATATATAGAGAACCTCATTGATTAGTTTCTGCGAAATTTTCTTCAAATAAGCATACGTTAATACGTTTTTTACTTGCGGCTTGTAACAAGAAAACATGTGGAAGTGATACTCGTAATAAAAACGAAAGATACTAGTATGCCATGCATTAAATGTCGCTTTTATTTTCAAAGAAGAGCCTTCACTTGGAAAATGGCAGACTCCTAGTGCGCTCGAAGCGCCCTCTTGTTTTAGCATGTAGTACTGCAGGATAACTGTATGTTCAGATGCTTGAGTGTTAATTTCACACCAAGGGGCTTTAAACATACAATGACAAATGATTTCTCCACCAAATACATGTATGTAGACTCTGAGAATTCATTTATCTTTCAGATATACTTTAAAAGCCTATTTTCATAACATATATGCATATACATATTCAAAGAAAAGTTACATGTATAAGCAAGTTAACATCCTTGGTACATTTTGTATCAGAATAAAGTGAAGACCATACAATTTCTTAATATTATTTCAATATTAAAGGATACTCTAAAAGTATGGCTTTGTCATTTTTAAAAATCATTTTACCTTTTCACTCTGAAAACTTCACAATATCTCTACCAAGTTTCAAGGTACATGTACATGTAATCAGAAAATGGAGAGTAAAAATGAAACTTAATTAAAAACATGGAACAACAATACAATAAATGCTAGTTTCTTATTTGTTGTAGTAAGGACTCCTGGGATCTCTGAGTACAAAATTACAAAGCACTGAGGTAGTAGATATACATTTTTTCCTAATGACAATGATTGCATGTTATACATGTATATGTGTCCAAGGAAAATAGCAATTCCTTGTACTGGTATCATCATGCATCAATTTTAATGATGCATTGGAACTGTGGAGGAATTCTATGATGTAATTTAATCAGATAATTGTTGCAAAGTTCTTCTTCTGGATTGTATTGATCAGGCCGCACACTGGACTTTTGTGGAGCATCGTGGTTTATTGTGTATTGTGCCTCCAGGACTCCTAGCACCAGAGTGAGGTTCCTGGGTTGGACTATTCTACTTCTAAGATAGGGGGTTGTGTAACAGGACTAGTCTACTTATATGATAGGGGGGTTCTTGTATGGTAATGCACATATGGTTCACAGTGGGTTCACAACAATAATACACCAGTTCCTTAATTCCTCCACATACTGTCCACTTACTCCCACCTGGCACATACTAGGTCACCTCCAGGCATGACCTCCCTATCAATCAACTGTCCAAATCACCTTCCACCCTAGCCTCCTTTTCAGGCATTCCCGGATCGGCCTTTTTCTTGGGGGGGGGGGTATTTTCTGATCAAACGTAGATCGCACGCAATAGAAGCTCCGGCCGGCAACCCTACCTATATCTACGTGGAACGCCTGCTCTCATTCGGTACCAACAAAGGCCAATTAATGTATCCGCGAGGAACTGTTAACATTATCGCGAGAAGCCGGAGCTTCTATTGCGTGCGATCTACGTTTGATCATAAAATACCCCCCCCCCCCCCAAAAAAAAAGGCTGATCCAGGAACGCCTAAAAAGGAGGCTACTTCCACCCACCATGCAACTGAAGCTATCAGTACAAACAAACCCACAACTCAGTCACCCAAAACAGTACTTCCATACTTGAAAGTAAATGTATATGTTATCAGCCTTTAGCAACAGTTTGGTAATGAAGCACCGCAAACTTCCGAAGTTCTTCTCTCTCCATGCGAAACAGGTGCCAGTTCTCGTCGCTGGTCAGGTCGATACTGTCGTGTTTCTTGTAGAAGTCAATCGCCGCCTGGTTCCAGTTCAGAACCACCCACTGCATCCGGTTACAGTCATTTTCTACTCCAATCTGTCGGAAGAAAAATTGGACAACGTCGAACAAGCCATTGGCTGTGTGAACACCATCACCAAATTACAGTTACAGTAAATCACTTTATATTCAATGTTTTGCGGTCACCTACACCACAAATTATCATTACTGGGAACATTACTGCCAACATAATAATTCGCTGACTTTCTTTCCTCTGCACCTGCCACCACCACAAAGGTTCATTTTTCTCAGACCACGATATTTTACTACTGCAAATATAGTTATAGTGATTTACAGTACCAGGCAACCTACGTTGATTTAAACTGTCATTTCCAATACAACTGGACTTACCAACATTTTCAACTTTTGAACTCCAATCTTTGTCAAGGAATAAACAATCCACTACCTTTGTGACATCATGTTATGCAGTCGACACATTTAACTCGGTAAGCAGTGAATCATTGAGGGATGGTTGCATTGATGTAGATGGTCTCTTAATAATACATCATACAAACATTCTGCAACCTATGCTAAAAAGTCATCTGTATAATGTGACATCGCAGGAGCGGTGGATTGTTCATTCCTTGACAAAGACTACAGTTGCACAGTCAAATATTTGTCAAATTTTTGTGTTGGAAATAACAGTTTAAATGTGCTTCAGAATGACTTCTACCAAGTACAAAAACAGAATGAGATGAACTTTCAGGATAAGACAACGTTCTCTTTTTCTGGAAGACAAAAAATAGGTATTTCTGAATTTGTGTATTAAATAAAACTTCCACAAACCTCAGCAACTTTGGTCATCATGGACGTTCCTATTCCTTTGCCTGAAAAAGAGGGGGAAAACAGGCTAATATCAGACGTCATGACATACTCTAGAACTCAAGCCTACAGGTTAAAGCAAGAAGCTCGTTGATCATAGAGATGCTACACCAAGGACTTTTAAACTCTACAGCAGAAAGAAATGATGTACAGTAAATGCAGAAGCTCTTGCGGTGGTTTTATTTTGCAATATTTTTTCAGTCATTTCATAAAAAGAAAATGCATTCACAACTTACATGCCACATGCAAAGAAACTGAAAAAAATATCACTAATATGAGAATTACTAACAGTAGTTTAATAAAGATGTCTAACATTTCATGCGTTACAAATTTGGAAAAGCTCACATAATGGAAAGGGGAGGAGGATACTTACCTCTGTATTGAGGTTTAACATACAGGTCCTCTAAATACATCATTCTTCCCACCCATGTGCCATAACTAAAGAAGTACATGGCATAGCCCACTGTCAGCCAGGGTCCATCTGGTGATAAAAATTAATTAAGAGCAAAAACACAGATTAATCCTAGTATGAAATTTTTTCCTATCTTTTTCTTCCTTCAGGATGTTGATATATTGGTATGCCACAGAAGCTACCCTAATCTCCAAGCAGTACAGTGGCAAGACAGTTATCCATGGGCCAGAGGAGTGTCCATTAGTCTGAGGACTCTCTCTAGATGGCCGGTTCTAATTGTAACGCTTTTGCCGCCAGATATCTGCTTGGAGATTAAAGCTACCCTATATACGAGCTGACAGATTAACTGTAAATTCATTACTTTCACAGTGATTTTATTTCATGGTAGGTCAGGAAAAGAGTTTTTACTAGTTAACAGTTGACACAATTTTGTATAGTACAAAAGTCATACCCGCGTACAAGAGAGACAATCATGTTCGAGGTGTCATAAATGCAAAAATAATTTTGACCACTGCCAAAGTTGCAACATTTACAGTACATCAACATCGGAAGAATTCAACCTCTCACATTGTGCCCGAGTGGGTTCAAATCCTTATCCTTTAGATCCACGGACAAAGTCATCTCAATCCAAGTTCACTGAAGAGCTATCCTTCCAATAGTGACAGATAAGATGCTGTGAACATTATTTACAGGTTCATGGTATAAGGGAAATTTACTAGCTCTTTGAAACAAGCACAATGATTTTAGTCATGAATTTAGGACTGCGTTACCCTTTACAATAGCATGCATGTCAGGCAAGGCAATTGGGATATGTTTTATATTTTGTACATGTCGTTTCATGACCTGTATTGTTCAGAATATCCCATACCTTGACTGTCCTTATTAGGAACCTCGGCAATCAGACAGTGGTAGAAAGGGCGGTCACCAAATCCATCTCTCCTTAGGGCTGTTGAAAACAGGGAGAATAAAAAAAATCCATAAAAATTTGAAATCAAAATACATAAAAAATTGATATCCATTTTCATATCATCAGCATCATCATAATTTGTCACTGTGGCTCACCAGCCAGTTCACTGCTATTTATTTAAAAAAATAGTAATCAACCCTTTTACAACAGGGGACATTTGTCTGTTTTTTGTCCAATTTCATTTGTTTATTTGTTTCTTTGTTTTATTAAAGATATATTCCAAGTCATTTCTTACTTTCTTCTGTGATCTTGACTTGCTCTGGAAGTCCTTCAAACTCTGCTAACTCCTGAAAAGGTGAAAGAAAAAAAAGTTCAAACATTCACACAGGGTCTTGAACAAAGAAATCTGACATGATATTTTTCAGACTTTGTAAATGTATTGGATCTGTAATGCATTATAATGGGGAAATACTTGATTAAAATACATGATAATTTCCTCAAAATGCTTCACATTGAATTGAGGTGGCCAGCTACGAGTTGATTTAAAATGGCTTGCCATAACAGAAAAGGCAAACAGACCCTCATCTACAATGTAGTCTCCTTTGCAGACTTGTATAGGGCGCTGCGTTATATTCTATTTTTTGGGTGAGCGACGTGAGTTGGAGGGACGATTTTGTCGCCGAGGGAATTTTAATGTCACACCCTGTAAGTCTGCTACCCATGCCCGTAGCC